AATCCAAACGGACCCATACGTTTGTGAGAAACATAAGATATACTTTATTTGTAAATTTTGACCAACCGCTTTGATCATGTGTTATAACGTTTAAAATAACTTCACTTAAATCATAATCAATGTTTAGAATTTAAAACATGGAAAAAATTTTGTGTTCTACTTCACAATTGTGTAGATGTGGAAGAAATTTTAGTAATTTAATCAAATTACTCAATTTCTAAAATGTCCAAAAAAAATCAAGAATTTAATCAAAATATTTAATTACAAAAAACCACGAATTGAACTTCATTCGACAAATTAAATAAAATGTTTAGATAAAGTATTAAAACGTGTTTAATATTATCAAATGTGTTTATATTATCAAATTAAACACATTTAATATTATCAAACATTTTGTTTATATTATCAAATGTTTAAGTAAAATGTATTCAGGTTTCTAATATAAAAAACCATCAATTGTGTTTAAGTAATTTGCTATATAAGGATAATGATGTATATTTATTCAAACAATCACTAATTGCATTCATCGGGTTTCTAATATAAGGATAAGGATGTATATATTTATTTTAAAAAATTGATAAATTGATAAAGGTAATAACCATTAAAAAATATTCAGAATTATGGTGGATATAATAATTGGAGTTCATAGATTTAAAGAAGCACTAGATAAATTATATATATATATAAATGTATGTAAGTCAAAATATATTTCCAAATTACTGAATTGAAATCTAAAAAAAAAGATTCATCAATTGCCTTCATGTAGTTTGTAGTTTGCAATTCATTATTATTCTAAATATAAGGATGTATATACTTATATTTATATTTCATATATAATTATGTATATTTATTAAGTGATAAGTGATAATATATACATTTATATATATATATATATATATATATATATGCATATGTGATAAACATGAGATATACTTTATTCTTCAATTTTGACCAAAGAGTTCAATCATGTGTCATAGGGGTTAAATCACTTGTCTCCCACTACCATCTATTTTTTACTGTTTTAGCCATTCTGATGCTTATTTTGTGGACCAGTTTCTTTCTAAGGTTGGCTATATTTGTCATTTCCAGTTTCTTTGTCTCGATTTTGCATATTTCTTGTTTTTTACTGATGAACGATGAATACATAGCCACCTTCATGCAAACAGTTTCCTACATTCACAAAACCAGTTTACATGCAAATTACACTGCATCTTACATCTTACAACTTGCTTCATACAGCTTGCTTCAAATCAGGTATTCGCTTATGCTAATCCAAACTTACTTCACATGAGCTCTTTAGCTGTTCCATGCTACTGGAAATTTGTTTTATCTAAATCTGTACTCAGGTGGTCGAATTTCTTATAATACGCAGTAGTAGAGGTACTTTGATTGGTTTCGTCTGCTGTCTCCATGGAGGTTTTCTACTTTCATTGCTTCGTTCAGCTACTTTTCTATTCTTTTTTAATATATTTAGTTCATAGCTCATTCCATCTATACTGATAATCTTCATGCTTTTTAGCTGAATAGTTTGTTCCTTGCGCATCACCACTTATATACCTATCTATTGATATATATATAAACAATATATATCTGTCCATACGCCTAGATTTTCCTCTGTCTATATTTCTTTCTTTCTTGGTGTATACGTATAAAAAACATGAGCTGCTCCAAGCTATCCATAAGGGATGATCCTGATAAACTTCATGAAAAAAAGGATAAGCAAAATCGTAAAAAAAGAGAAAAATTTGCTGCTCTATCTGTCGAAGAGAAACAGGCTCAGCGCAAAAAAAAACAGAGAAGCTTATCACAGAAAAAAATTGGAGAAAATACTTTCCAAGTCCTTGCCACAACAATTTCAAGAGGCTTGTCAATCACCAGTTTCTGCATCTGTTATACGTAACCTTTCTCCTCAACAATGTTCTCATGGTACATAGTGATTCAAAAACTCTTATTATATTCTCATAATCTGTATGTGCATAGTATATTCATCATAACCTGTCTATTTCCCTTATTTCGTTCATGACTAACTTTGAATGATAAAGTTATAGAAGCTATTGGTTCTCAAACTTCCAAACACAGTGAGAATGTTCACGGAATTATTGGTTGTAATCAAGGTTAGTCATAGAATTTATTTTTCTTTACCAACTTTTCTTACAATTCCAACCGCTACCTTTGTATATATTGAATTTCGAATTTTTCTACCTAACCTTCGGATGATTCACGCAGTGGAGTCTCATACTCTCATTTTACAAAGCAGTTTACAGGTACCATTTCTATGTACTTTAAATCAATGAATTCAGCTAAACTTAGTTGTATATGTATCTGTGTTTCCTGCTATATTGTAGTCAATTAGACTGTCCATTGTTTCTTATGCTATCTAAATTGCATTTTTTTATAATATTCATGCAACCAATCACAACTCTATCTATTGTAATAGGTGCTTCAAAACCTGGTATTCGGATTTCTCCCTCTCCAAATAACAGTGATGAACTACCTTCTGCTGAGTTGGGTAGAAAATTAAAGGAACAGATTTCTTCCTTCTCAAGCTATGAGAAAGGTACATGGTGTAGTTTGTTTTTAATATATCTCTCCTACTCAAATCATAAACAGTATTCTATTGATACAATGCTCCATCTCTAATTTTTATACGTAGGATCTGCTTCTAACTCTCGTACACAACATACATGTGTAACTACTGACATGATACACAATGCAGGTCATTTAAGCTTCAAAATTAATCATTGATTATTGCTTTCTATATATAACCATCAACATTATCGTGATCAGCTATATTAGTATTCTTGTTTACTTTTCAGATAAATCATTCATATGCATGAACTGCTACAAATTCTTGACAGAAATAGCTGAACAAACTTCAGGTCAAATCTTTTTTCAGCTTTTTAAAAAAATTGCTGATGCGATTCTGTCTAACAATTCCATCAACTTTACCTTGAACAGATTTGTCAGCTATCCTCCCAATATACCAGGTGTATCAAGTCCCTGATAATCGTTCTGCTAAAACAAGAAGAACTGCAGGTTACTAGCTTTGATCTGAATTTATTACCTTGTATATAGAAAAACTCAAATTAGCATATGAGCTGCTTGATAATTCTCATGAGATTGTCATTTTATTCTCAATTTTGTTGTCTACTATCAAGTTTCTTATTTCTGACTATGGTTGTAAACTAATTTGGCATAAAAAATCCATTAAATAATCATGTGATTAAAATATATTAAACTGTTTAATTGCTTCTGATGTTGATCAAAAAACTTCAGTATGCATTATACAACCTCAAACCACTTCTATTCATGCAAATAGCTTGATCACATTGCTACCACTGCGTGTATAAAGGTTATGGCTTCTGCTTCTAATTATATATACTTGAACCATTCAGGCAAAAGGCATTCATCAGCGAAACAAGTGAAAGCTATTAATAACAAAAAGAAAAAAAACAGAGGTATAGATTACAAATCACTGATTGTTCCTCTTTTACCTCCTTATGTTCAGTTCCAACCTTTAGTTTAGATGAACCAATCGCTAAATCAATAGGTAATCAGGCTGTTGATGGAGTTCATGCACTCAAATTTGTTAGTGATCAGACAGATAGATTACCTGCAAAAGCTAATTGTCAATACTGTGGAGCAAAAAAAATGCACTCTGAGACACCTAATTTCTGTTGCTCAGACGGACAAGTAGTTCTACATGAGAATAAATTGCCAAATATTCTTGTGGAATTGTTCACTGGTTATTCTGATGAAGCTTTATCCTTTCGTACATATGTGAGAACATATAATAATATGTTTGCCTTTACTTCTTTTGGTGTACACTATGATAAATCGCTTTGCAAGAGAACAAATGGCATTTATACCTTCAAAGTTCAAGGACAAACCTATCACTTTATCAAAGACCTTATTCCACAAGGAGGATCTGGATTATATCTGCAACTATATTTTCATGATACAGATCATGAGCTTCAAAACAGAATGGCAGTTTCTGAAAGATTAACAGAGAGTATAGTAATGAAGATCATGGAAGTCATGAAGTCTAATCCATACGCATGTTTTCTCCGCAGTCTAAGAAACGTTCCAAATTTGGATTCATATCAGATAGTCCTGAAATCACATTCATAGAATGATCAACGAGTATTCAATCATCCAATAGCTTCTCAGGTTGCAGCTCTTTGGACAGAAATAGAGAGTTCAGGAACAAGTTATGCTAGACACATTAAAATTTATACAAAAGAATGAAGGGATCACCTCGTGCAGTACTATTATGGCTGTTACGATCCTCTGCAATATCCACTATTATTTGCACTTGGTGAAACAGGCTGGCATCTTGGAATCAGAAGATTTGTCAGAGAAAATGGCAAAAAGAGAAAAAGATGTATTCAGAGAAACAAACCTACTGCTCTCCTCACCAATTACAAATCTGCTGAAGACATGAAATCTGCTGAACAACAAGGTATTCCTAACATGAATAACTAACACATTATTTATATGTAAATGACTTATACATTACTTATATACATTGTTCACATCTTCCTTACATAATTACTCATGTCGAACTACTTGTTTTCAGAACATAGTACTCCCATTATTTTCCATTAATCTCAGATCATTCTATATCTTATTAATGTATGCAACTTCATATGCTCGAACCAGTTACTGATACCTTATTTTTGTAACTTTCAGTTTCCAATGATCCTGAAAACAACGGTGAATTTGTGTCAATGCGAGAATATTATGCTTATAAATTGCAAATCAGAGACAAATATTCTCCAAACATACTTAACACCGGTAGATTACTTCAGCAATATGTTGTGGATATGTACATCAAAATTGAAAATCAGAGATTGGATTACTATAAAAGCAAACAAGAATTCATAAGAAGAGAGCGACTGCAAGACGTAATGGATAGTGTTATAACAGGTCAATGCCAAGGTTCAAAAGTAGGCTAACGAGTAGTGCTTCCAGCTTCATTCATAGGAGGCCCTCGAGACATGAAAAGGAGATATGTTGATGCTATGGCTTTGGTGCATAAATTTGGCAAACCAGATTTATTCATTACAATGACTTGCAATCCTTCATGGCCAGAGATAAAGAATCTCATGCTTCCAACAGATGAAGCACATAACAGGCTAGACCTGCTCACTCGAATCTTTCACGCAAAGCTTGATGTTTTAAAACAGGAGTTATTCAAGAAAGAAATATTCGGATCTGTTGCTGCTTACACATATGTCATAGAGTTCCAGAAACGCGGTTTACCTCATGCTCATTTCCTCATAATTCTAAAGCCATGTTCAAAACTTTACTCGACAGATTCTTATGACAGAATAGTTAGTGCAGAGATTCCAGATCAAAGCAAAAATCCACATCTTTTCAACATGGTTCGCAGACACATGATTCATGGCCCTTGTGGAAAAAGAAATCCAACCAATGTTTGTATGCGAGGAGAACATCAGAGAAAATGCAGGAACAATTTTCCAAAAGCATTTGCTGATAAGACTTTTTATGGAGATAACACATACCCCACTTATCGAAGAAGAAACAATGGATACAAAATGATGGTCCGTGGACATGAGCTCGATAACAGATGGGTTGTTCCATACAATCCTTACCTTCTTGCAAAATTCAACTGCCATCTGAACGTTGAAATCTGCTCTACAGTCAAGGCAGTAAAGTACATGTATAAGTATATCTACAAAGGTCATGACAAGATTCATTTTGTACTCAATTCACAGGATTCTAATGAGCTCAATTCTGACGGTCATGTCTCTGCAATCGATGAAATCAAAGACTATCAATCAGCTAGGTGGGTATGTGCTGTGGAAAGTATATGGAGAATATATAGGTTCCTGCTGTTTCAAATACATCCTGCTGTTATTCACTTACAGCTTCACTTAGAAAATTGTCAACCATTGAATTTCAGAGAAGACCAAGACCTACGTGATATAGTAGCAAATAGATTTGCTAAGAGAACCATGTTGACAGAATTTTTCTACATGAATTCTACTGATTCTCTAGCTCAGAATCTCAAATGTACTTACAAACAGTTTCCTGAGCACTTTGTTTGGTATCCAGGAAGGAGGAAATGGGAACCAAGAAAGCAGAAAGACTGTATAGGTAGGATAGTAACAGCCAGTCCAATGGAAGGAGAACGATACTTTCTCAGATTGCTCCTCACACATATCAAAAGTCCAACTTCATTCGATGACTTAAGAACAATAAATGGAGCATATGTACATACTTTTCGTGAGGCAGCAATTCTCAGGGGTTACTTTGAGTCTGATAAGTCACAATAACAATGCCTTGAGGAAGCAGCTATGTATCATATGCCGTATAGTTTGAGAAGATTATTTGCCACACTACTTGTTCATTTTCCTCCTTCAAATGCCAGATATCTTTGGGAACAATTTGAAGAGCCATTATCTGAAGATATCAGCAGAACTCCACAAATATCAGTTGATCAAATCCGATTCTAGGTACTGTACCAGATAAATCAGTTCCTACAATCAATGGGAAAAGATATCAATCAGTATGCTTTAGTTCGAAATATCATGAATTTTGATACCTTGAACAAGAACACTCGTGATATAATAGCTGAAACAAGAATCTGTGTACCAGAGCAGGACTTATTAGCAATTGAGCAATTAAATGCTGATCAGAAAAAAGTTTTTGATATTATTATAAATACAGTTTTTGTTGAGAAAAAAAGGAGCTTTTTTCATTGATGGACCAGGTGGAACAGGAAAAACATTCCTTTATCGAGCACTACTAGCAGAAATCAGGTCAAAAAGACACATAGCTCTAGCTACAACATCCTGTGGAGTTGCGGCTTCGATTCTTCCAGGTGGAAGGACAGCTCACTCAAGATTCAAAATACCAATTAGTGGAACACGAGATAAGCAATGCAGAATTAGTAAACAAAGCTCATTAGCAAAACTCCTGCAATCTACAATTCTGATCATCTGGGATGAAGCTCCAATGACACACAAGACTTCGATTGAGAGTGTTGACAAAATTCTCAGAGACATAATGGACTGCAACAAATTGTTTGGATCAAAGGTCATTGTTTTTTGAGGTGATTTTCGTCAAGTCTTGCCAGTAGTAACAAAAGGATCAAAATCTGAATTTATTGATGCAAGTATAGTGAACTCATACATATGGCCACAGCTACATAAGTTGCATCTGACTCAAAATATGAGAGCAAGATATGATGCAGAATTTACTGAATATCTACTCCGCATCGGAAATGGAACAGAGCCATTTATCTCCAAGAATTCTATCCAGATACCTGCATCAATGCTGATAAGATATACCAATGAGGAAGAATCAATGAACACATTGATCCGGACAGTGTTCCCAGATTTGAATGCTTTTTGCCAGCACAATTTCTCTGCAATTAATTGTGCTATTCTGACAACAAAAAATGACTTTGTGGATCAAATTAATCAAAGGCTCATTGTACAGTTCGAAGGACAATTGCAAGAGTATACTAGCCGAGACAAGTGTATAGATAGCTCTGAGCAGACAATTAATCATAGAAGATTTGCTAAACAGTTTGACTCCAAATGGTTTCCCCCCTCATAAGCTGCTTCTCAAACCATACTGCCCTATCATGTTACTGAGAAACATTGATCCACCTCAGGGATTATGTAACGGCACCGGACTGATATGCAAATCGTTGAGCTCCAATATTATACATGCAGTCATAACATGTGGAGAGTTTGCTGGAAAAGAAGTCTTCATTCACAAAATCTGTTTTAGAGCAGAGAATAATTCAGACTCACCAGTATCATTCGAATGAATTCAGTTTCTTGTTTGAGCCTGTTTTGCTATGACAATAAACAAAGCTCAAGAATAAACACTTGATTTTGTTGGCATATATTTGCGTGAGCCGGTTTTCTCCCATGGACAGCTATACGTAGCAATGTCAAGAGCTAAGAATAGTAGTTCTGTTAAAATTCTGATTAAACCATCAATATTAGATACCAAGAAGACTCAATTGCTGAAAATATAGTATATACAAAAGTACTAGATTTAGCTTATCAATAACTCTTCTAACCATGTGTATATCAGTTATTTCTCTATATTCATGATTTTACATCTTTTTTGCCCTTCATCCACCACTTAGCTACTTATATTATGAGTTGCAGGAGGAAAAAAATATGGTCTCATTTGCTGAAATAATTCCTGGACTACAAAACTGGACAACTATAGTTCAGGTTCTAGACAAGCAGAAGCCATTACTCTCAAAGGCAGGAAACAGATATCAGAAGCTCATATTAATTGATCAGCAGGTAATACAAATTCTCAATTTTACCTCATGTTCATTATTACTCAATTTTGACATTCACATCAAAACAACCATGACTGTTTTCAGGGGACAACAGTTGAAGGAATGATTTATAAATCAGACATAGAGTTTTTCCGGAATCATTTCCAACTTTACAAGCGATACATTCTCTGCAATGCTAGAGTTGAGTACACACCATCAGAGTATTCCACTCATCCAAATCAGTGCACATGGTACATAGACAACTCTACTGTTGTTCAAGCAGTGAATGAAGTCGAGCCACCTCAGATTCCAGCTGTGTTCAGATTCTCGCCCTATAGAAGATTCTACCAATATATGGATGACAACACAGATATAGGTAAGCAACAAATCAACTACTAACTTGCTACTGCACGCAATTTTCATTAGAGTTATAACTCGACACAATTGAAAATCAGATGTCCTAGGCATTGTCGCTGAAGTTCATCCTCGGATAGAAAGGGCCACTACAGCTACTAGAGAAGTGGTACTTATAGATAAAAGGTAAGTAAAACTATCCATTTATTCTATATCAGTTCTGAACCACCACACATTCATACAAATAATCTGTTCTAACAAATGTTCATGTTTCAATCAAATACACTACAGCATGATGCCAGTTATCCTAACACTATGGGGTGAGCATGAAACTGATGAAGGCCAAGCACTTGCAAATATAATTGACACAATGCCACTGATTGTTGCACTTCGGATTAAAGTATCATCATATCACAGTGAGTACATAAGAAATTCGTTATGCTCCACATATTTTCTGACTTTGAACATACTGATAATACAATGTACATTATGGGGCGTAAATATTGCAGCACTGAACCTGTCAACAAAATTTGGATCAAGCATTCTCCTTAATCCTCCAATACAACAAGCTGCTGATCTGAAGCACTGGTAACAATTCTTGTCAGGAAACATCATTTGAAAATATTTTCTATTAACTGCATATTATAAACATTGCAAATAAAACTTCTCTGTTCACTCACAAGGGCTATTGAGAATAAAGCAGAAATCAAAAAATTGATAGCAGAAAAAACATACCACAACCGAGTTAAGCTTCTACCACAGCCAAGGGATGACGAGCTAACCACTATTCAAGACTTCCTGGCATTTCCTACGGTAAATTCTACATCCCATCATTTGTTCACAATAATATTTTCAGATTTCTAACTACTCACTATAATTCAATACAGAAAAAAGCTTACTAGTTGCGTGGTACTCCAAAATTGCTAGACAAAAGCCAGTGATTATGGTATAATGCTTGTCCACAATGCCATAAATCATTCAGAGCAAAGCCTATCTGAAAAATTGTTTGCACCTCATGCAACAAACATGTGAACATAGTTACAAGATGTCGATTAACTGTAGAACTTGCTGATTATTCTGGAGTTTTAACACTTGATTTTTATGATAACGATGCCCTTCAGTTACTACCTTTCACACTTTCGCAGATACAAGAGTTAGAAAACAAGGTAAGAAATACTGTTTCCATATGCATATAGAATATTGTGATTAACAAGTAAGTATACTGTATCTGATGTCAACTTGTTGATTTTAATTCTATAGCATGAACTGAACTATCAAGCTATTGAAGAGGCCATTAACAACACTCTCATAACATGCTTTGTGAAGAAAATGGTAAACAACCATGCATCTGGCAGTACTGAAAAATACTCTGCCATTATTCTGCACAAATCCCTTCTACCAGAAGTTATATCGCAGATTCCTTCAACCATTGGCTATTTAGAACCAAATCCAGAACTGCCTTCCACCAGTATTGATGAAAATGTGGTCAGTACTGCTCCAAAAGACACAAATGTGAATTCCAGTTGTCTCTCTACTCTTAAGATCAGTGAGAGCCCAACTAAAAAGCAACGCAGCGACAAGTATCAAAAGCAAGATTGAAAATGCCATATACTGGTTTCTGCTATTACATACTTTTGAAGCTCTGCTGGCTTAACTTTTGATAGCTGAAGCTTTCCTCTATTTTGTGGTGGTCATATATTTTACCAGCTTTTGTACACTTGCTTAGCTTTCCCTCCATTTTTGCTTAAGGATAGTTAGCTAAGCTTTTTGAAAGTGCAAATGTACCACAGTTTCATGTATAACTTTTGATATGTGCAACTTGGCTACTCAACTTTCTATCCTTTAACGTTTGGTTCATCAAGTGTTAGTACAGTTTGTGATTTGCAAATATTTCAACAGATTTTGTACACTTCATCAACTTTCCCTGCATTCTTATTTAAACATTGTTACCTGGGCTTTTTCAAAGTCCAAACGTACTAGAATTTCATTCATAGTTATTGAGAACCAATCACATAACCAACACTTGCATCACAGAAACTAATCTCCCTTCATTCTCTTTCTTTTGCTTTCTGCTATCAGTCAAAACTCATTCGATATTTACAACCATTTATTCATTGCACCTTTATTTCCAAAATAGCCAAACATCATGCTACAATGGAACTGATTACCACTTCACCAAATACAAAAACAAATACACCAAGTACAAATATCATCCAACTGAAGTTGCTAAACACAGTATCTAACCACCAACTTGCACATGGAATACACTCGAGTACAATAGCAAACATTTCCATACTACAAATTATAAAAACTCATAGAAACATACATAGCTATCCGCTACAAATTTCTGCCAGCCCCATTAGAAAATCCACCCATAGCACTTTAAATTGCTTTCCTCTGCTCTTCAACTTCTACTTCCATACGACCAGCAATGATCTGCAGAAACGGCAGCTCTCCAATATTTCCTAATGCACTTTCCAGCACACGAGCTTTCTCTGGATGCCGATGAAAAGATTTGAACAAATCATATATCTCATTCCTAAGTAGAATATTATTTGCTAAAACTCGATCTGCACCCCTCAACATCCCATTATCTTCAGTATGTCCAACCAAATTTCCTCGCACACCACTTAGTGATAACCGATTGAACATAACCTCAATATCTGGATG